TGTGGAAAAAGTACAGCCAGAGTGTTCCTTAGAAATCAGAATAGTGAAACTTCAACTCTCATACTTCAGACATGTTATCAGGAGGGACCAGTCCCTGGAGAAGGTCATAATACTTGGTAAAGTGGAGAGTCAGAGAAAAAGTGGAAGACCCCTACTTCCACAGCAGTACTAGGCTCAAGCATAACAATTGTGAGGATGGTACAAAACCAGGCATTGTTTCATTCTGTTGTGCATAGGGTTGCTATGAGTTAGAATTGACTTGATGGCACCTAACAACAAAAACAACAATCTGAAAGTTGCTTCTGTGTTCAGTGTGCACCCTCACCCAGGACCCTCTTATTGCCATCTTTGGGATTCCCTTCGCCTTTCTTGGATTATATCTCTAATTTCTAGTAGCCCAAGTCTTCTTAATTGATTAACTCCTTCTTTAAGGACAACCAAATACTCCGGTAGCTTCCTGAGATAGACCTCATAGGAGATAAGTTTATTGAAGTTTTGCTTTTTTGAAAATATCTTCACTCCAACCTTTCCTTCCCTTCTAGGTTGGAAATAGTTTTCCTAAGGTCATGATCTCCTGACTTTCATCATTGAGAAGTCTGAAGTTATTCTAATTGTTAATCCTTTGTGACTGTTTTTCTTTTTGGAAATTTTACTTTGCTTTATCCTGGTGTTCTGAAATTTCACCATAATGTGTCATATTATGGATCTGTTGTCCATTATACTGAGTCACTATAAACCTGCTTATTATGGTAATTGATGTGTTGGGTAATTCTGATGGACTCTTTCTTTGATTTCTTCCTTTTGTTGTTGTTGTTGTTGTTGTTTTCTCTTTGGGACCTTCTATGTTTGGATGTTAGATTATCTGAACTCATAGTCTGCTGTTGTCATCTTTTCTCCCCATTTTCTATAGCTTGGTCTTTGAATTTGTCTTCCCAGTTTTCTGCCTTTGTATTTTTTCATTTCCAAGGTCTCCTTAATTTTAGTTTTCTGTTTTATAGCATCTAATCATTTCTGTTTACCTTTTGACATTTTCTTCTCTCTGAATAGTCTCTATCACTTTCAAGCTTATAATTTTATAATCTTTAATCCATCTTGAATCAATACTTGCTTGTGAGTTAGTGTGGAATTCCGTTCTATTTTTATTTTTATTTTATTTCTTTTATATTTTCTAATAGATCTGCCAAAGAATGCATCCTTTCACCATTGATTTACAGAACTATCTTTTTATCTATATTTCACCTCTCACCCCATATCTTGCCTCACATTACTGTGAAATTTGATTCCTAACCCCACCTGTGTGCTGATAGGCTGCCCTCCTCACTGTGGTGTGTATTTTCCCACTGTCTGCTCTAAGCCCCATGTCTAAAAATTCAGTCTTCTCTCTCTGCAATGAATGGCACTTTTAATAGATTTGCCTCTCCAGAGGATATTAGGTGGGAAAAAAAGGTATCATATTCGCTGATGATCCTTGAAGAATGAAAACAATAAAACTTGCAATAAAAGTTGTGTCATCTTCAGTAGAAATGTCACTTTGATAGAAAATTCTTAGTCAAGAAAATGAACAAACGAACTAGGAATTATGAAATTATATACAGTTTTTCCATAACTATAATTTTTTATTCATAACTAGATGAAGCTCTCAGAAGGAGTCTGAAGAAATCTAGAGATGAATAAATCAAGGTTCTATTCTAATGGTTCCCTAACTATTGCATTTCCATAGCAACAGGTTTGATTCTCCAGGAGGCAATCATACCATATTAGTGAAAGTTACCAATGAGTATGTGGCTTACTTTGTGCCTTGAAATATTAAGGAACAACTTAAACAAACAACATACAGCAGTGAGCAGTAGCAAGAACTTTGCACCTGGAGGAGCACATGGCCATTGTTGCTATGCAGCCTGGAAGTTGTAAACATATACTTTTATTGACTTTAGTAGAATTGCCATGTATCAAAGGTCTTATGGACATTATACCAAATATTCTGTCAAGAGATAATCTTATATTAGAGCTGATAAACCTGAGAGTTGTAGAGGTCAAATACCATATAAGAGGACTTAGGGGTTGAGTCCTGATCTCACTCCAAAGCCCATGATTTTCCACTAACCATACATTATTTTATGTAACATTGAACCCTGAAAAGAGACACTTACCTTCTTTGAAGTCATGCTCTGGTTGTTTCATGAACACATCATGTTTTCCTGGCAGGTCATTGTACAGCGCTGCCTCTCAGGCAAGGACATGTCTCACGTTAAGGCTGCCTGTATTATGTGCGGATACCTGAAGCTGCTGCCCATGTTCCTCATGGTGATGCCAGGCATGATCAGTCGCATCCTATACACAGGCAAGTCCTGAATCCACATGCCCTATCGTTTTTATGCTTGAACCCTGAGAAGTATTTTTAGTGTTTCAAACTCTTGATAAACTAGAATATCCAAGAATAGAAGTGAAATCACAATTCCAAGTGAAAGAAACAGCTTGCACAGAGGCTATAAAGAGAAAATTTGGTGTATTTGGCACTTCAATCACACATGAGTCTGAGTCTTGTTTTGATGAATGGCCTGGATTTAAGCAAATCTAGAGAATAATGTGTCCCTAGGTGACACAAATGTTTAAGTACTCCACTACTAACCAAAAAGTTGGTGGATCAAATCCACCCAAAGTTTCCTGCAAAGAAAGGCTTGGAGATCTACTTCCAAAACAATTGCAGCCATTGAGAACCCTATAAAACACGGTTTTACTCTGATTGCATTCAACTCTGAGTTGGTATTGACCCAATGGCAATGTTTTGGTTTGTTTTATTTTTAGTATTTCTTTAGAAGTAAGACAAAGTACTAGAGAATGAGGTTGTTGTTGTTGTTAAGTGCCATCAAGTCGTTTCAGACTCATAGCCACTCTGTATAGGGTTTCCAAGGAGCGGATGGTGACTTGAACCACTGACCTTGCAATTCAAACTGACCTCGTGGTCCAGCATATTAACCCACAGCGCCATACCAGGACTTCTACCAGAATGAGGTAGAAATGTACAAATATGAAAGAACTGTGGTGGTTGAATGCTGTGGCATCTCTAATTTGAGAAGATCTAGAGAGTGTCTCTTGATTCCTCTGAGAAGGTTGGAGCGCTATATTAACTTTTACTGCTTGGAATTGGATTGGTTGGGTTTAATTTTTGAGTTAGCTGAGAGTAAGTAGTGCTATTACTGAAAATTTTCATAAAAATTACCTTTTTTTCTTAATTACAAAATGACCTTTCTTGACTAGTAAGAGCCTCTCTGACTATTATTGGGTCAATCTGGAAGACTCTGAATCTCGCTGATGTGTTTTATTTGCGTGAAATAACATTACAATATTGTTTAAAACAGTAAAGATGTTCAACAAGCAGGGAACAGCTAAAAAATATACCTGTTCTATGAAAATTGCAATCAAAAGAATGAAGGCTCTCTCAAAACTTGGGAAAATTCTGACATTATATTAAATAAAAAAAAAAGCAGCTGGCGGGGCTTGATGGTGGCTCGGGTGGAGGTGCAGTGAAGTTCAACGTCAGCAATACCACAGAATACCAGGCAAAGCAGATCCACGACAGAGATCCTAAACTCAGAACCACAGAAATAGGAATATTTTGAAGGTTTGAAGGCCTACAGATTGTGGAACTTAAAGCTGAAGTAAAAAATCACATACTTTTGAATCTGCCGGGATGGGCTTGGAGGCCTGAAGCCGACATATTGGGCGAGACCAAACGGCAAGACAAACGGGGGAGCAGAAACACCACGGAAAAACGCCGCGGGAACCTTGGAGCAAAGATGGACTTTGTCAGTTTTTGCTTTTTTCTGATTTTATTTGCTTTTTTCTGATTTTATTTTTTTTCTTTTTTTGGTGTCTGGTCATTAGCGTGCCCACTGTTTGCCCACCTCTGTTCTGGTGACTATAGGGGGTAGCCTGAGCTAGTGGACAACCCCCACCCTCACCACTGGTGGGTTCTTCTGCCACACATGCGCACAGATACTCCGGTCCAGAGCAGGCCCTGAAGGCTTTTTGCTTATTTGTCTTTTGTTTTTCTAAAACGGGAAAGGGCAGGACAGGGATGTACAGAAGGAAAGAGAATTTAAAAACAAAACAGACCAAAAATTAAATCAAAGCCTGAGGTATAGCATAACAACCAACACTGTTATCTCTCTGGCAGCTTTGAAAGCAAGAAACTGAAGAGAGGGCCTTAAATTCAAACTCATATTAGACTACAGATTTTTTTTTTCTTCTCTCCCTCGTCTCCTTTTTCTGTGATTATAGACTGCAGTATTCAGTCTAGTTTTTGTTGTTGCTGTTTTTTGTTTGTTTTT